AATTTACCTGTTTAAGGTCACGGGTGAGAGGGACGAGACGACCGAAAACGATGGAGCAATTGTACTATTTTGTAGTAATTAGACACTCAGTCATTTTTGATTAAAAAAAACGTTTTTTAATTCCTTTATTATTATTGTTAATAATATTGTTATTATTATTATTCAATTTACAAATTTACAATCAACTTTCAGGAAGGGGGCCACGGCCCTACATATAAAGTCTATCTGGAAAAACACAAACAAGAAGGATGGGTGATGTAGGAGCGGAAATTCCAGGTCAAAGCTTGGTAACCTAACCTCTTGGTCACCACGTATAATATAGAGGGCACACATGTAGCCGGCCCATAGACTGGTGAGCAAGCAACACGTAGGAAGGTAGGCAAACAGACTAACAATTGGTTCATACGTCACGCCGAACACTGTAAAGCAGACATTCAAAAAGTCAACCAATCAATCGGTTTGGTAGCAATCGAATACTAATATCTGATTGGCTGGAGCCGATCGATAGAGTCAGTTCGAATGGCTTGAGTGCATGCGTGTGCTAGCTGACAGTATCCGTCAGTCAATTGAACAATCAATCACTCCGGCTTCAGGCAAGCGCGTCAAACGTATCAGCCGCGTGCAGCGACAGGAGGAACCCTCCTTCTCGTAGGCAAGATGTTCTGATCTAAGAGAACAAAGTGTTTTACAAGTTCACGTTTGTAAGCCATGGGCAGAATCCAGAGAACTGTTGACATTGGGTGCACTGTTCATTCACATCTTTTCTTATTCCCTGAAGAAGAAACCGACGATTCCTTGGGGCTCTTGGATTTAGAGTTATGAGGAGCTTCCTGAATTTCACCGGCCTTTGAGACAAACAGGATAATAAGCTTTTGGATTTTCTCACAGTGATACTGCTGAATCCCGGTTGATTTGTTTACCTCACTGAGTAAAACGTGGTTTATTATACTGATACATGGGAAAGAAATCTTTGAAAAACTGTTTTTTAATGAGTTAGCTCACTCGAAATAGCCTATCAATGCGGGTGATGCGCGCGTAGATTGCCGCGTATGATATGGCACTGCACAATCCCGGAGCGATCACGGCGACCACACAGATGGGTAGTCTTGGCTTGTCCCAAATAAACACGATCGGAAAGATGTAGGACAGAAAAATAGCCAAAAGTAGAACGGTCGTGGTCTCGCGTCCCGAGGCCCGGACAACCGGAGTATTCCAATGAATAGTATAGATCAGACAGGTTAGAGTAGTAATCATCAGAGCCAGTATGCATAAAACAACCACGGTGATGGCGAATCCGTTTTCGATGTTCATGTAGATAAGAGGCAGATCGGAGCATATGGTTTTATTCTGGTTCGGTCGTTTACCAGGATCACAGAACCGACACATCGTGATTGGTGGAAAAGCGTCCTTATCCACATCCGGATAATTCCCGCTAGCTAAACTGGTCACAATCTGATCGCTGGTGCAATTCAAACATGACCAGCAGCACTTGTTTTTCCTGTCTGGACGTCTTGCTTGACCCAATCCACATGGCTCGGAACAGTGCGAGTATGGATGCTTGGCGCGAGTACGATTTAGCACATCTGGATACTCCGCGTAGAACGCTTCCCGATCATATCGTGTGTGCGCGCGCACGTGTGTTGATGATGTGAATTTGGGGGAAATGAGATAAATCGGAATGTGGGTGGAG